CCCGATAACACAACACACGCCGCAATCACGAGCGCTTGGCTTTGCCTACTCGCGGACTTCGCGATGGCAAGACTGAAGCGCCCCGGAGCGCCACCGATGGAGTGGTTGACAAACAGTAATGTTGGAGAGGCATCGCGTCTCGGGCTAACCGAGGCGGAGATGACGGAAGCGAACGCGCTAGACCGGCCCAGGCAGGTGCACATGGAGGTGGGGCACGTGAGAGGCTTCTCCAGACTACACCAAGTAAGCGCAACCATCCGGCTGCAGATAAGACGGCCGGTATGCACCAACCTCGATTCGCCAATTGGGGCAGCTGGCAAGGAAAGCGGCGTTGGATCCGAAGACAACCGCGGTAGCCAAGGGAGCCCAGCACTGCAATCAGCGTTCTAGAAAGCCTGCTAGAACTTTGCTAAATCTGTCCCTCGCGTTTACTCGCAGGTCGCGCATTCGTTATCAGTCTTGTTTGGGACCAATCTCCGCCCAGCGACCGGGTCTGACCAAAGGGCACCAAGGGCCCCCTCGAAGCTCACACCAAGCCCTATGCGCCACCGGCCGATTTGCTGTTGCGGGGAGGTCCCAAGCTAATCCCAAGAGCCGCGGCGGGGCGCCAATTCACCGTCCTTGTTAGCGCTACCCGCTTGCGGCGAACGCTTGTTCTGGGTGCACACGACCAGCCAACCAAACACGGCGCCAGTCTATCTTTCGTCAGCCTGGCCCTTCACTGTGATGGAGGGGTGCCAAGCTGTCGGCTCGTGCGCCTCGTGCATCAATGAACGGGGGTCCCTGTCGCTCTTTCCGCGAGCCATCTCGAACCTGGACTGGATAAATGTCAATTGCCTCCCCCTCCGCTGATCCATATCTGACATTAAAGAGCAGCCGGTCCCAGGGTCTCTCTCGACTTCATCAGTCTTTTCTACCCCCAGCACTGACCTGTCCAACCGCCCATCATGGACTACGAAAAAGGGACCCCGCCTAATGAGAAGACTACCGTCCCTCACCCGACTGTCGAAAGTCATGCTGAGGAGGCCGCCGACTGGCGCGACCAGGAGGACTTCATGACCCGTAACGGTCTCAACATGAAGTCTTTCCAGCGTCGTCCCCAAGAAGGCCCCATGGTCGTCCTCGACAAGTCCATGAAGACTCGCCATCTTCACATGATTGCCATCGGTGGTTCCATCGGTGCTGGTTTCTTCGTCGGTTCCGGTGGTGCTCTTTCCAGGGGTGTAAGTTGCACAGTATGCGGTCATTTCTGGATATGAACTTACAATTACTCAGGGCCCTGCCACGCTTCTCATTGATTTCTCAATCATGGGTATAATGATCTTCAACGTCGGTATGTAGAGTTCACACTTGTTTTGCGCACGCAAGCAAAACTGACACGGATTGCAGTCTACGCTCTCGGTGAACTCGCTGTTATGTACCCCGTTTCCGGTGGTTTCTACACTTACTCCTCTCGCTTCATTGATCCATCCTGGGGTTTCGCCATGGGTTGGAACTACGTCTTCCAATGGGCCATCGTCTTACCACTTGAACTTCTCGTCGCCGGTTTCACAGTCCAATATTGGGACGGGGCCAAGCCAGTCAACGTCGCTGTCTTCATCACGGCTTTCTGGCTATTCATTTGTTTCATCAACATTTGGGGTACCCTGGGATACGCCGAAGAAGAATTCTGGTCCTCGTGTATCAAGCTTGGTGCAACCGTCGTTTTCATGATCATCGCCTTGGTCTTGGTTCTCGGTGGAGGACCAAGCAACGGCATGTACTCTGAATACTGGGGAGCGCGTACCTGGTACAACCCCGGTGCCTTCGCCAACGGCTTCAAGGGATTCTGCACCGTCTTCGTTACCGCAGCTTTCTCCTTCTCCGGAACTGAACTTGTTGGTCTCGCTGCCGCTGAGACTAAAAACCCTCTGAAGTCCCTTCCCGGTGCTATCCGTCAGGTCTTCTGGCGAATCACCCTGTTCTACATTCTTGGTCTCACCTTCGTTGGTCTGCTTGTCGAGCACACTGACTCGCGTCTCATCGGTAACTCCTCCGGTGACGCCAACGCCTCGCCCTTCGTCATTGCTGGCAAGAACGCTGGTCTGGTTGGATTTGACAGCTTCATGAACGTTGTCATTATGATCTCCGTTGTCTCCATCGGTGTTTCTGGTGTCTACGGTGGTTCGCGTACCCTCACCGCCCTTGCTGACCAGGGTTACGCTCCTAAGCTCTTCACCTACGTCGACCGTGCCGGACGTCCTCTCTGGTCCGTTGCCTTCATTCTTATGTGGGGTCCCCTCGCCTACATGAACTTGGCCTCAACCGGTGAGGTTATCTTCAACTGGTTCGTCTCTCTGTCTGGACTTGCCGCTCTCTTCACCTGGGGCTCCATCTGCCTTGCCCATATTCGCTTCCGCAAGGCTTGGGCTTACCACGGACACACCCTGGATGAGATCCCATTCAAGGCCGCTGGTGGTGTTATTGGTTCGTGGATCGGTATTATCATCATTGTCATCGTTTTGATGGCACAGGTAAGACTTCATCTGATCCCCTTTGTAGTGCATTTTGCTAACATGAACATCAGTTCTACACTGCCGTTTCCCCTATTGGAAAGAGGCTTGGTACTGCCACCGACTTCTTCCAGGCATACCTCGCCATCTTCGTCGTTGCTGCTTTCTGGGTTGCCGGATACTTCTGGAAGCGCGAGGGATGGCTCCGAACTGCCCAGATGGACGTTGACACTGGTCGTCGTGAGCTCGACTGGGACCTCATCAACGCGGAGCGTGCCGAGATTGCCACCTGGCCCGCATGGAAGCGTTTCATGAACCGCATCTTTTAAGCTTGTCTTTGCATGAGTTTAGTGTACGGTCTATGGACCGTTCAAGTGTCCTTGAGTTGATTATCAGTCGATGAATTTTTCCATTATCGACTGATACATCATGTTCGCCTTTCATATAGGTGATCTTAAATGTTAATATACCCCTTCTTTCAACGTTATTTTACCGTGACAGCCATGGCTACTCTGAGATATTTTGTGATTACCAACGACTCATACAGTAGCCTAATCAATAATGCTCCGGCTTTTTCCCATCTGTAACTGGACGACGAAGTGTTGCCCCTTGGCTGCTTTCTCATCATGCGCGCCACACCGATGAAGCTTTCTTATCTTGAGATGGTCTTGCGCTGCCAACCTTCTTAGCTCCAAGATCATCGCCTCGGCTCCGCTGCTCAGAGTAGCCAAGTTTCTTTCTTTTTCTGTTGTGACTGCACCTCAACGAAGGAAAGGTTAAACACCATGGAGCGTACATTACTACAAGTTGTTCTGTTTTGCTCGTCTCATCCAAGTGTAGTCTGCAGAACTGTTCAGCTTTGCCTTGTATGAGATGATCGCGTTGTACAATCAGTCTTGCACAGACACACACAGCAGACGTATATCACATGCGAGCTTGGAAGTTTGGAGACAAGGCAAGAGTTACGAGACTTGTTGTTTGCTAGCGATGGGTAAAACAGTATCAAAGATGCGAATTCTGTTGCTAGTCGCTACTTCGCAGAGTGTGAGTACCGCATACGCTTCGAGAATTGCGCGAAATATCCGACCCCCAATCAAATAGGTCACATCAGGAGAAGGAATCCATGAATTCCTTCACCTCTGGCGCTTGACCACCAAAATGCTTCTTCGGAAGAGTCGTAACTTCCAGACCGTGCAATGATCTCGCTCGACTCACTGTGTTCGCTGTTAGCTTGGTATCACTGGGGTAGATATGGTTTGACGTACAAGCAACGTATACTTGGCTTGGATCAAAAGCCTTCTGCAGGTTGACCTTGACCTTGTCTATTGTCATGCCCTGAGCCTTGTGGACGGTAATAGCATAGCCTGCCATGAGTGGGATCTGAGTCCTGGACAAGAGGCTATAGGGCGTAGTGTCGCCCAGCTCGAGGCTCGAACAATTTGGGAAAATTGTCCTTGTCTGACCGTCATCGAATTTGACTACCGGCCAAGGCTGGTAATTGTTTTCTTCGGCATATCTCCGGATCTCATGGTGCTCGTACGCGGCGTGTGATCCAGCGAGAATTGACCCATCGCTTCCACGTTCTTCACTTTCCTTACGGGCCCGGGGTAGCTTTCTCTCGTCATATTCCTCAAATTCTACGATGACCCTCTGTGACCCGTTGACCAGACCAGCTTCAGGATCCAGATTGTGCTGCAATACAACTCGCATGTCTTTTTTGAACTGCAAGACTGATTCATACCTGTGTTGATCCTGCGGAGGAAAGATCAGTACGATGTCTATGTATGCGACAAGTGGCGACTCACCAGCTCTTTCAGCGTACCATCCTTGTTTCTGAAGTTGTATTTCTTGAACTCTGGGTTCGCCTTACGGTGGTCTGGTTTCAGTTGAAGTAGTCTTTGCAAGCGAACCGCCAAGGTTGAGATGGGAGCGCATTGATGCACTTGTTGTTGATGCGAAGGACGTCTGCTCTATGTGGGTATATCTCCACTGCCCCTTCTGTTGAACACTCATGGTTCAGAAGCGTGTACGCATCATCCTCAGGGATGTCTACATCTGTAACTTGTCAGCACAAGAGTTGTATCATGGCTCTGAAGCTTGTTTACTTCTTCTGATTGACTGCAGAATTTCGACGAACTTGCGATCGCTTTGTCGAAAGATCTTGGTCAAATTGACATTTACGAATCTGCACTCCTGTGATAGTCAATATGTGGTCCCTGTCTGATGGGAAAAAGGCTTAGATTTACCTGCCATGCACTACTACGAAATGCCCATTTGTCAACGTCGTGGAAGACGTTTTCCGGCCAACTCCGATTATCACAGTGATACTGGTCATCATAATCGTCCTCCCTCAAAGGTTTTCCACAGTTGAAACAGTTCTGGAAAGGCTTCACTGGGGCGAGTTGGCAGAACTAGTATCGCGTTAGTCTTTGCATATCCCAAAGTCGCTACTACACTTACGTCTCCTGTAACCACAAGTTGAACGCCACCGAAAGGTTGGCTCGAACCTCATGCCGCCTTCATCACTTCGTTCAGCCGAGTGAAGAAGTTGTTCTCGACCATGCTGATCTCGTCAATGACGAGGACATCCGTCTTGTTCATCCTGTTCCAGACTTGCTTCCTGTGAGCATCTCTTCTCAATGTGTCCAAATCTTTGTTTACATCAGGCACTATCCAGCCAGCGTAAGACCTAACTAGACGTCAATCAGATGTCCAGAGATGTGGGGCTTTACCTCGTACCAAAGCGTGAAGCCACCGACGTTCAACGCGGCGAGGTTTGTCGGCGCACAGATACGGACCTTGCCGAGCGACTTCAGTTCCTTGACAAAGGCCCGCAAAATGGTTGACTTGCCGCAGCCGGCGGATCCTGTGTAAAATACATTATGGCCGTCTACGATAAGATCAACAACTCGTTGTTGCTCTTTGCTTAGAGGAGGCTCAGCTTGGGCGGGTGGGTTGATAGGTCTTGCTGGCTCTGTGTGCGTGCTGGCTTCCGCTTCCGGGCTCGAGTCTAGCTCCACTGGGGCGTGTCGTGACCCTAGCGGGTGTGAAGACTCATGTCGCGCAGCGTCATTGGCTACGCGCTTGCTCGGAGGCGAGAATTGCGATACGGACGCGGTTCGTTTAGGCCGAGGCATGTTGGCTCGCACAAAGGAGACGTCTCGTTCTGCAGGTGTCTGGCATCCCAACAGGGTTCAGACAAGACGCGTCGCGTCGAGCGGTAAGCGCTAAACCTCTTCGCGAAGCCCCACTCTAAGGCTGCGTCATACGTCATCCGCTGCCCGCGACAGCTGCAGCAAAAGGAACATCACAGTGTTACCATCACGAACGTCGCCATGCGATGGAATTATTTAAGCATTTAAAAACCAAGCCGTTGCAAGCCAAGTCTCATGATACAGTCGTCATACAGACCACCTGCCTGCATAAGCAACAGGACTATGACAGAATGCTGTCCCACACTGCGCATGACACAACTCCTTCCCATTTTCCTGCCCTCTCCACCAGCAAACATTTAATCCGACCTGCACTCCTGTCAACGTGCCGCAGCATGACGGTATACTCAAGACTGGACGTACATAACTTTTAACTCATTCGAAACCTAAGTAGAAGCCTGCCCGCCGTGTGTATTACCCTGGGCTGAATCATCAGTATTCTAGTCAACGCGACGTTTTTTGAGAGGCGGCTCACTGAGAGGCGGCCAACTGGAGCTCGCATCCTCTCGCATCTTGTATTGCTTGAGCTCCAGTATGAGGCGATTGTTCTCTTCGTTGAGTTTGCGATTCTTGTCCTTCTCGACGCGAAGCTCCTCTAGATACCTTTGAAGGCGCTTTTCAGGCACCAGCCTAGTCGGTTCTACCTTTGGCGCAGGTGTAGCATCTGGTTTCTCGTTCAAGATATCTTTAAGACCTTCAATGAGGAATTCGACCGTTACGCCCATCTCGAGAGCACCGTCGATGGCTGCTTTAAGATTGTCGAGCGGACCCTGGAATTTGCGCGGAAGACCTCTGGCAGGGTCAAGGTTGGAAAGACGGTCACGCAAAGTCTTCTCAAGTTTCTGCAACTCCTTGTAATCCTTCTCTGGTTCGTCGGAATGGTTCGCGCGCTTGTATGCTGTGGATAAAAGACCGTAGGTTGTGCGACAGCGCCGATAGTCAGCCCTATCGATGGTTTCCGAAGGTAGGAGTTCTTCCATGTCTGCACGATGTCAGTATCAATATTCTTGTCAGCTTTTGAATGCTTTCGGAATACCTTCAATAATCTTGCCAATCTGGCCATGACCGATTTGGGAAGTAGCCATTGCAGGGTAGAAATGCGTGTCTATCGCGGGTTGGAGATGGTTAATAAGAGCGATTATTAATCAGTCGAGTTGAATCAACAGTCGGTACTGCAGTGGCTGGGGTGAGTGTGGTTAAAGTAAGCAGTATCCATGGAGGTGAGTGTGTTTGTGCCTGGATAAGTGGGTCATGTGAAAGCAGGCACGGGAAGGAGTGAGAACCTGGTACCTTCCGCAAGTGCAAGCGCGACCATTCTTGTTCTAGCTGGCTTGCGTCACCTCTGCGCATATGTCATTTTCAATTCGTATATTCGTATATCTAAGCCTTGTTGAGGTCATGAGTGTGAAACGAGTGATGGACAGAATTGTTTAGCGGTGGCGACGCTCCCAGCTGCAGCAACTTCCTCCATTTATAGAAACGAAAGAAAGTGACAATAGCATCTAGGATACAACGAAACGCGATTTTCCTATACTTCATCAAAGAATGGATTGAGCCTAATCTAGTCATCTAGATAAGTCCCGCTGTGGCACATACTTGTAGACTTTTGCCCGCAAGCAATAGTCAGTACCGTCTTTGTCTTGTAGAGATCACATTCCGCCCGAATCTCCTTATCCGACCAGAACCACTCATCTCCCTGTCTGACGTCTATGAACCTGCTGTAAAGATCCTGATAGAAATGGCGGCCGAGGAAAGCCATCATCTTCGTCGTATCTAGAGTATCTTGAGGCGTGGGAGTCGGGATCGCAGCACCAAAAGTATGTGATGCAGATGGCGCCACTTTAGCTGCCACTTTGGGTGGATGCGCTGGAAGCGCGATGCGAGCGCGACGAATGTTATCGAAGCCTACAATCTCCATTGTGTCGAGGACAGTGTCTGAAGCCTGCTTGCTCACGCCGTGAGCTTCCAGCCGACAGGAAAGATACTCGTCAACCCATGATGATAGCTTGGGCCCTTCGCAGCTCATGTGCGCATCCACTGAGAGTATTTCGATTTGTCCACCGGGCTTGAGCACACGCATGCAGTCAAAGAATGACCGAGCCCAATCGTCGTTTCGAAGAACTGTCGCGACGGAACGCGAGATAACGGCGTCGAAGTAGTTATCGGGAAACGGCGTTGGGGATGCAAGTGAAGGAATGTATAGTGTATGATGGTTGAGAGGCGCAGGGTACGTGGTAGCTGGCTGAGTCTTGGTGGTAGAGAGCGTATATACTGTCACTGCAGGGTAATGGTGTGCTAGCATCCATCCATCCGCTGCGGCAGTCAGCATCAATGCGTGTTTCGAGCGGGGCAAAGCTGCAGGACAGACATACCTAGAGAACCATGTATTTGGAGTACCCTCCTCTGATCTGCTGGTTGACTATTACTCAGTAACTCATGCGCAGGTGACTGCAGGGGTTTGTTCTGCGTCAATCGTTGATAGGCAGTTAGTGCCCATAGCCGTTGCTCGAACATAATCTCTTGGAAGCTCTCGTCATCGTCCAAGCCGTCCCACTCTTCGCTTAACCGAGCAGACATGATGCGAGTACCAGCATTCTCCATCTTCGTCAGCGCCCGTGTGAACGGCGTTTGAGCGACTTTGACACTTTGGACACGTTCACTGCTATGTGTACTGCCAGTTCGTGAACCGCGCTCGACTGGTTCGAAATAAGGTGGTCGTGAAACCGGTTGAGGCTTGAATGAAGGTTTAGAAGGGCGAGGGTTATCGAAAGCATCGTCCGAGAGAGCAGTCTCGTACCCCGAAGCGCCCGAAAAGACACTGTGGTTTGAGTGTGTGACGCTAGATGGGTTGGATGAAGCGCGAGAAGTAGTGGAGTACTGTGACTTCCTATCTGCAGCGTGTGTAAGCATGCTATCCGCGTGAGATCACGGCTCGTACATGTATACTCCAGGAGACTACATACGCAGTCATGGTAGTCGAAACCCCATGCTAAGGTATCAAGAAGACGATTTGTACGTACCTGGTATACTGACAGGGCTAAGCATCCCTGGCGTAGGAGGCAGTGCACCAGACGGAGGAGGAGATGGCAGCGGGGGTGGAAAGCATGGCGGCTGGAGTTTTCGGGATGTTTGATCAGAACGCTGGGACAGCGGCCTCTGGGATACTTGATGTTGTGTATCTAGAGGAGCAGTGGGTGGTGCCGGTCCTTGGTCAAGTACGAGTTCAGACTCTGGCTTCATCGCCAGCTCTTTTGGACGTTGTGTCTCCTTACATGTCGACAGCGGAGCGATCTCCTGGATGCCCTTTTTATTATTCTTGCTGAACCAACCGCCGAGACCACTCTTTCCTCCTGATCTTGAGTCTGACGAGCTCGTTGCATCTTGACGTTTGCTGCTGTGCGTGCTCCCGGATGACTGCGAGGTTGCCGAGAAAGACCGTCTGGTCGTATCATCTTCCTTTGCTCTTCTTGCTTTGCGAGCTCCTACTGTCTCGGCATGTTGAGGAGGAACATCAAATGTTGGAAACATGTCGACTATCTCGATACGGTGCCCTCATCGCCTTCCAGGCGGGGATCTTCGCTCGATAATAGTTCATCGTTTCGGCATGTCACAACACGTACCACCTGTTAGGCCAGCCCGTTCGCGGGAAATAGTCTCAATCTCGCCAACTGAGCCGGCTAGCGTTTTTAGCGTGATGATTGCAGTTTGGTGTTGGGTGTTCCAAGTCAGTGGTGGTTGGTGGCCTTACAGGCCAGCGACACTAGGACGCCCGGTTCCCACCGAGAATAGCGCCGAAACTAGTGCGGAGGTCCCCATCGATAACAGGGCAGATGATGATCAGCGCAAGTGACCTTTCCCAACCCACACTTTCGGAACTGACAACCCAAACCAGAGGGGTACTGGACGATGATAGTACCAAGATCTTCCCTCCTCCTGCAAATCGCAACAACACACTCGCGCAAGCATGTCACTCCTTACCGCCTATGCAGCACCGACGCGTACTCTGGAGGCACATGAAGACGGTTTTATCACATGTGCGCCACCAGCCACTTTTAGCGTCTGCTAGATGACCGCTTACCTTCCCCCTTCATGAGAGCCCCGGGAAGCGGCACAGCAGCCATTGGATCGAGCACGTCAAAGCCATCGTTGGGAATTCTGCGACTCGTTAGAACTTCTTGGAAGACCCGACAGTCAGGTACCTTTCGTTCCTGATGTCCAGTAACCAAGTCAGATTCCTCTGCCGATGCGCCATCGGTCTTCGACCCTTTAGACTTCAAGACCGCAACTTCGTAACGGCTAGACTTATTTGCGACATGCACCGCACACAGTCAGCCTCGGCAGCTATGGAATTAATACCGCTGAGATGTTGAAGGAGGTGGTGCAAAGCATACACGTACATGGCACCCGACGTCACTACTACGTATCTAGGTATCGATTGCTTGACTCGTTTTCGCTTCCTGGCTCAGTTGAAGTTATCTAGACACTGTGCTAATGCCAGTGGATTACTCGGTGCGGCCCACAACCCGGAATCCGACGACCACATTTTAGTGGAGGTGACATAGCCAAGGCGGACGGTTCTTCAGTGGCGTATGCGCGGTTGTATCCCACCGAGGGACGGCTTGGATGAGAAGATGAAACAGCAACACACCTAGCCGTTCGACCTGCCATAACGGAACGGCAGATTTTTAGGCATATAGTGTCTTCCACATTCGCTTAACGAGAATCCATCTCCGATCACGGAGGATGCCTTATGTGGCTTACCGCGAACTCATTACGGGATCGTTGCGGGCACCTGCATGACGCGAGCGAGCCTGCTACGCTCCATCCCCTGCACTAGGTGTAGTCTCCGTATCTTCCTCTTTGAGCACGGCAGGTATATCTGGGGATTGATCTCCGTCGTTACCTGGGGTGTCGATGGTCTCGTA